TGATCAAATGTACAGTTGTCTCTTATCCACTCTGACTTACCCATTTGTTTTGAAAAATTATTTGAGGAAAATGTTGATAAAACATACAAAAATAACCTTAAATCAGTTTTTTGGAAAAATTCATGTTTGTCCTCATAAAATCTGAAAATCTGAATTGGCTAGGACAGATATGGTAACTCACTTGTTTTGTGTTTCTGCACAAAGCTTTATTTAGAAATAAAAAAATGAGCAACACTTCCAATCTAATTTTTGTGTTAACATTCCTTTATGGTGCCATGAGTCATTCACTCCTTGAACTGCTATATGGATCATGAAATTGTGATCAGTCTAATAAGATGTATCTGCCACAGTAGCTAGAAAATATGTACTTATATTTCTTGAATATCGAACTTTAATTTGCTCTATGAATAATACATTTGGATTTGAGTTCTCCATTTAACTGTGAGAGAAAGCAAATATTAGGTTTGGGATGCCTATAGTATATACTTGCTCACACACGAAACACATATACACATCATTTTCGTTAGGCAACTACTGTGTGTTGTTTTATATTAAAAAGCCAAAAAAACAATCTACTGCAATTGTAATTAGTCTTCACAGGAGAGAAAAAATTATTTGGCGTGAGTTCCTTTTATTTCTGAGAGTGTATTACATTGTTGTGTTTGTGAGTTATTGAAATCCCATTTAAATTATCTCATACAGAGTGTATATAAGAGCTTTCCAGATAAAAGTCTGATGCATCAATATGCTGCATATGCACAGTTATAAGATTCATTGTCATTGTTTATTGTGTGTGAAGTCATTACGCCTGGTGTTTAAGGTCATAAATACAGGCTTTGGGCATTGACTGAGCTGTGCGAACATCTTGATTCATAGGCAAGCTCATTTGAATAGCTCCGGGCATTGAACAAAAACTGCCTTTGCTTGGCAGTACAGAAAGACCGAAGGGCACAGCGACAGCCACAGCCATCGTTTTCATTTGTAGGTATTGTCTGTCTCAGATGCCTGGAGTGTGTATGGGTGGTGCTATAAGGAGGATGTGCACTCAAGAATTAATACAAAAAAATAGGTGAGGTACTTTTAGAAATCCCGTACAGCTGTATGACTGTGGCAAATGTGTAGGTGGCCTGTCTGCTGAAAATAAACAATTATGGCATTATTAGAATTTCCATTACAATGGAAAAATAAGGCTGGAAAAACAGCAGTGTCACATGAAGACCTTATTTGAGCCTTGGCATTGTTTTGAGAAGCAGCACTGTCTTGCATTCTGTTTGATCCTTCGTTTCTTACGGCATGTTACTCTCAGGCACCTTCTGTCTGCTCCGGTTTCTCTAAGTGTGCTGTGCAGAAATAAAAAATACCATTTGGAATCTGACAAGAAAAGATGGCTGGCGATGGTTAAGCTGTCTTTCATTTGTATCAGTAGCAACTTGTTTTGTCATTGTTTTCCTTAATATGGGTGACTATTCTGAGGTTCTGCTCTCATCAGCCTTTAAGGTATCAATTACCCACAATCTTTCTGGTGGCTCAGCAACACAACCAGACCCTGATGTCGCCCTCCAGTGCTGTGAGCTGTGGTACTGAGCTGCTGCTGCTATTAAAAACCAGCCCTTCTCTCAGCCTTTCGGGAAGGCAGCCTCAGGCTGCTTCTTTCTCCTGGCATTCCTTTCTCTTTAATGGCTTGTCACTTGTTGCCAGATACAGTCCTCCCTCTCCAGTGTAAAAGTTTGAACTGTGATATATAAAAGCACATTAAGACCAAGAAAATTACTTCCGCCCTTCCATTATTGCAAGGTTAAGCACCTTTGTCAAAGATATGTTGGGGGTTTGGAGACATTAAGTACTTGTACCACTTCCAAAATTTGTTACAACCAGGGCTGTTTGTATTTCTAAGGCATCCATTGTGCTGGTTCGTGCAGACTAACTTCAGAGGAAAATGTCCTGTATACTAGCACACCAATGCAGACTCGTGGACTGATGTTAAATTCAAAATGGCAGAACATTCTGACTTGCCTGCAGTAAATGTCTGCAGCTAATGTCTTCATATTTATCAGATAATGGCTAAGAGCACCACTGCCACGGAACATAATACTAATGATGTAAATATAGACAACTTTAAAGGCATTTTAGTACATCAGATTGTGTACTGTATAGTTCAGTATAACTTGAAGCTTGTTGCACTTCTTACTTTATATTTTTCTATGTACTGTAGCTTACTGAAGAAAAATGATTCTAATGAGATCTTTGACCTTGTTAGTATACTATATAATATTAAGTCTGAATGCATTCAGTTTTGTATATTGCATATTGGCACATTGTTTTCTTAGATCATCTGAATTTTACTTCAGACCACTGAACATGAGAAAATTAAACCTTTGAATGGAATATATACAGTATATGCCTCACAGCATGCAATCAACATGAAAATATGAATGAAAAGCAATATATACTGTTTTTTTTTACAGATTATAATGTGAAATGTGGAGATTAAGTCTGGAAACATCAATTTAATAGTTATTTCATTTTTGACTCTCATATCAAAGGGTTACTAGTACTTACAAGTGCAGGCAAAGTTTGACATCTGAGAAGACATCTGAAATTCTTTTTCAGGTGGAGGTTATCTAGTCACATTTGAGATGGAAAAATGAAAACTAACCCTTTAATTCTCATTTAGGAAATGCACAAGAGAACTGAACTTGTGGATGAGCCTGTTCTTGTTATGTATTTATTTTTTAATTTAAGAATAAATTTGTGGCCTTTAACCTTTGCTATTTTATCTTAGCAGCATAAATCTTTTATTTTACTGCATAGAACATTTTAGAATTTTGTGAGTTAATCTTAACTGTAATAGCTTCCTCAGATCTGTCGAAACACCCACTGCCCATGTGATCAGTTGGAGGAATGAGAAGTCATTTCGCCAGCTGAGTTATACAGGATCTTTAGGAGGATCAAACTGTGTGGCTCCAGAGTGGATTACAGGTAGGGCCCTGGTATTGACATCACAACTCTTTCTTGTCCTTAACAGTTAAATATCTCAGTTAAAGGAGGGCATCGCCTCCAGCACATTTCTCCTGGTCATCAAACTGGGCCATTACATTGTAAATTCAGGTTCAGAGAGAATAGTGCCTCCTACTGGTCTGCCGATACCACTTACAGCATCAACATGGCCTTCCTTCGAGGTATCCCAGTATTGGCCTGGCCCAGCCATGCTTAACTTCTGAGTTCTAATGAGATCAGGCTAGAAAATGGTGATGCTGCTTTCAAAGGTACAGTAGCATAGGTAGAAAATGTAGAAATTATGCTTTTTTCTTGCTAGTAGGCTAATGCGTTTGTTGTGATTGTTGGTCTAACATGTAGTCTATGAGCTTTCATCCTTTGTTTCATCCTTTGTTGGGGGAAAAAAAGTTTCAAACTATTCAGGCCCAAGAACTAAATAAAATAACTTAGGTTTGTACAAATTTGGTATATTCAATTGAGGATAATAGATTCTTTTAGTTGTTAGCAATGCCCATACTTTGGCAATGCTTCAATATTTCTGATGTGCATGTTTAAGACAGCATTCATTTACTTTACGTTAACATCACATTCTATGAAAGTCTTTGCGAGACACAAGATACACATAATATTTTATCTCATATGCATTGACTTAGATCAAACGCATTATGCACTTTTACCTGAATGACACGTTAATGGGAATATCTGATGTGGAGTACCTGCATTTCTATGAAGAACCTCGCTTGATTCGAAGAAGTTTCCAGCATTTTTTAATTTGAAAGCTGCAAATAAAGTTGTTCCCTCTAGATGGCAGCAGAGTCACGCCATACAGGCCTAGAGCGCTGTCCAAATGCACTTGACAAAGCACCTTTGGAATGTTTGACTTCACTTATTTTCTGTTGCAGCCGTAAAGTTAAAATGCATTTTTTTATTTTCTCCAAGGGCGCAAATATCGGCCATTATAAACTAGTCTTCCCCAATAATTTGATTTGTAAGCTGTCCTACGAAATCTTCAATACAAAATAAACTTACGAAACAGATGAAGAACGAAATCTGAAGCACACGTTTAAATTAACCGAGAAGAGATAGGAGAACTGAGAGATTGTGTGCTGTCGTCTAACATTTTTTAGTTCGTGCTTCAACAGTTCGGTTTAAGCACGGAGGAGGTGGAGTGGGATGATGCTAGCATTCAGAGAAGTACAAGCGAACACAGAGCATGACATTGACCCTTTTCAATCAAAACAGTACCGATTTCTAAATATAACGAGGCTTCCCTAAACGTTCACACAAGTTAAAAAAAATACATAGGAAAAAGGCTGGTGGGTCTCCTGCCAGCCAAAAAAAAGTAACTTGGCTTACATAACGATTTTGTGCAGAGAAAAGACTATATTCTTATGTAAATATTCGATCCGGTGATTAGAATGCTTTCCACCACCACTCACAAATATGCTACTGAAATTCACAGAGTACAGTACATACTATATTACCAAAGCTGCACAATGGTATGCACACCTGCAGCAGAAAAGAATGATGATATCTGGAAGATTTGCATGAAGTAATGATGATGTCTTCTAATCTAGTTTGAAATGTCTTTTACACTATTACGAGGACTAGAATCCACGTAGTTGGAATATTCTGTAGCTTTATAATGTCCAAAGTCCGGAACAGCGTGACTTCAGAATGTGTATACAGAATGCACAGACAAGTCTATAAGGATACTGCGTTGATCAATGTCTGATTTACATGATTGTTGACTGAACTTTCTTATTACGTTTTCCATCCCGAAAATGCATATTTGAGCGATTTAGTTTTCCCTGTCTTTTCTTTTGCACCTTAAAGGTGATATGGCGGCCTCATAAAGGTGATGCTGGCTGCGAAGTTGCAGTGCTGGCTCTCCGTCTGTTTCTCTTCCCCTATACGATAGTGATGGTTGAGTCCAGCTCCTTCTACTGGTAACAGGCTGCCTCTTTTCTTTCCTCTCCTATTCTCCCTAACACATTCTGTCTCTCTCCTTGGATCAAGACAGCCTCTTAGGGTCTCAGCGCTACAATCTCTTATCTCTGCAGTGGCTCTTCTTGATGATATGAGAGCTAATCGAGGCGAGTCCCTGCACCATAGGCGTCAGATCGTTGTGCCAAAGCTGGATCTCTATGCATTTTTGTGATCGTTCACAATAAAACCCAAGAAACCCTTGGCTGCGTGGAATAACATCAGACATGACTGCGATGAGGAAATTTAAACACCTTCTGCTTATTTTCGCAGCTCTGACTACCGCAGCTAATGGTAAGTTTTAAGAAATTTCAGTTACTGTTACACTACTTACAGGTCTGTTCAAAATATGAGCATTGTGTTTGAAAGCTCCGTTATGCAGTTCTATGAAATACGCGTTATAATTCATTCAGTGACCAAGATATTCCGTTTAGTTTGATGTTTTACCTGTTTTCAAAACTTGCATCCACTCAGAAACAACGACAACTACAGTATATGACCATAAGCGTCTGTAAACTGGAATTAAAGAGCGACATTGCCTGTCTTCTTTCCAGATTGTGTTGATCAACACGTCACTTATTTCACTGTTGGTATTCTTAAGGCTTATACATATGGATTTGAACGAAGTATGAGCGCCCGTTCTTTTTTTCAGTAAAGACCGTACCAAATGCCATTGATAAATAATATTATATGAATCAACAGAAAAGCTCGCAAGAATAAAGTGATTAAAAAAAATCTGCTTTTGCCATTTTCAAAATATGAAATGGTTCCAATCTGCCTTGCAGACGTCAGGTGCTGATTTTGAGATTTTGTGGATCTAGTTACGATGTGCTGGTGTTGCCGATATAGTTGACTACATCTATAACCCCCACATTCCAATGCTGTACTGTATATCCCTGGCACTGGGCTGTTGAGTCAGGCTCACCTGCCCACTGAGAGGAATATTTAACAAATGGCACTTGTTTAAATTCATAAAACAAAGCAGTTTAGATGTTCATCTTGTGTCAACTTTTACGGACCAAATTTTCTCTGACAAGTTGGTTACTCGGACTTCTCTCCTGTCTTCTGTCGATAGGCCAACAGCACCGGGCAGAATGTGAACACAATTTCCTTCAGTACTATTTTAACAGTAAAGAACATGCACATCGTGTATGTATGCACACATCCATGCGTGTACTGTACGTGTTTACGGAAAAAATAAAATGCCTCTACATATGTAGACCAAGGGCCTGCTAATACAGCAATATATTTGTCTTTGCTTTCCACTTAACACATACTTCTTATACTGTATATAGGACCTATACAGTGTATACTGCAATTGTATGTCACTTTTAGTGTTGTATATATGTCACATTCTCTAATTTTGGTTTTCGGAGCCTTCACAAGTGTTTCTTTCAGCCTGTATTTCCATATATCGCCTTTATGTCCGGACACTGTAACTGCGAGAGCCTTTTGATGGTGAGAATTGGCTGGAGTTCAGATGTTGTTTCCCACAAAGACCTCTGCCTTTTGAAAAAAAAAATAGTTCAGAATACATTTTAACTTTATTTTTCAAGTGAAAATGTACCGGTTATATATTGGGCATACACCGAAGACTTTCAAATGTATTATGATATGTGCTATTTTCTTTACAATTGTTATATCATTTAAAAAAAGGGCAAAACGTGTTTAATAAACTTGGGGATAACCTCAGGGGCTTTCTGTACCATACAGCAATTGACATTTGCGTTTTCAAAAAAAATGGTTTGGTTAATTCTTATATTTAATGGGATATTCTTTTATACTGTATGTTTTAAGCAGTCTGCTAATCTACGCGGTCTCAATATGATGTTTTGGGTCTGTTTTATTTCAAATTAACTTGATTTCACTTCCTGTATATAATGTTTATTTGCCTCGTCAAACGCTATGTGATGTAGAAAATTAAATTAATAAGGTACTTTTGTAAAATGCTAAGCAACAATTGCCAATTATACCGTGAAGCACAGAAATTGTGTAACACCAGTCTAGCTGCTTATTTTTCCAGTTTTTGTTAAATGTCTATAATTTCTAGATGCACAACACTAGCAGCATTTAACTCTCCTTTGACAGAGTTTTTTTGAAGTTTCATTTAGGCAAGAACTTTGATACCCAATGTCCGTCGAAGTGTCCTCATATCCAATTTAAGTTTTGCGTGCGAATCCCTGAACTGGTACTGTACTGTATGTGAATATGAACGTGATAGAAGCGCAAGTATCTGCATTTGAACAGTTGCTGTATCAGGCTGTTATATTATTCTTTCGTTCACCTTCATTTCCTTCGTGACATGTTATTTCCTTTCCTACTTTTATTATTTTTTTACCCCGTTTCCTTTTTTAGGGCATCCATGTAACTGTTTTTCAACTAGTAGTTCCAACGTTTTCGTTATTATGAGCTATTAAAGGCGACGCGGTTGCGAATGGAGTTGGTGATACTGCAGGCATTTCCTCTGGTTCCCGATCTTGAGAAAGAATCATTAGTTGTGTCACAGCTGTGCTATCAGAGTTAATGACAATGACTGCTGCTATTCCTTGTTCAAAGGCGTGTGGGGAGTTTGGGAGGACAAGCTTCAATTAATCTCGTTTTATCGGGCACCATGTTACAAATCTGCAAAAATATTGCATTATGCTTTGTAATACGCTAATTCCTATTGAAGGAAAACTCATTAACCATTCTAAATTCAGGTTTCGGTAAAAAGTCTAAAGAAAAACGTAAATAACGTGAAGTTGAGAGCCCGTTTCACTATTTTTAGGATAAGCAAGCAGTTGTATGGTATTTCTTCACTGTCGGGTATAGAATGCGAACAGTTCCATTCTCAAACACATCAAGGAGAGACTAGCCTCGACTTATTCCAGAAACACACGGCACATCACGCATCAGACTCAAGGGGATGTATTAACGAAACACTTCAGAGACGGAGAGTAGATTAAAATCTAAAAGCTTTTCCGTACATATTCCCATTCAGTGGAATGTGTTCTGCACTATCTGTTCTTCATTGCATTTTATATTAAGTGAATATTCTCTTGCAGTCAGAATTAAGGGGGCTTTTGTAAATCTATAAAATAATCCATAGTAAGAAAACAAAAAATATACGCCACACTGCACATACTGTACCTGTACATTTATCTGGACATGGGTGGCCAACAACAATACACAGGACCCAGCAGACTCTCTACGGTAGATCGCTCTTAAATCCCTCTTTAGTTTGTAAAGAACGGGATCATCTGTGAGATGTGACCTGATCTGATTTTGTGATGTGGTGTTATTTTTTTGGTTTCACCTTTGGCCTTATCCAGGGCAACGTAAAAATGTATAATAATACATAAAGCAAATATAAATAGAAATGATTTGAAAGAGTCAAAATACAAATGGCAAGAAAAAGCAAAATAATGAGGCGGGCGGATGTGAGGCGTGTGGCGGCAGTGCAGCCGAGAGCCGGGGGAAAGTACTGCCCATCAAGTGGTAAACAACATGTACGCTAATTGCTTCAATTAAGTCAGGAATGGCCAACTGCCGTCCTTGAGAACTACAGGGTGTAGAGATTTTCAATCAAATGTCAAATGTTCTCTTAACAACTTAATTGAACAATTCATCAGCTTCATCAGTGGACAGAACAAAGTTGTTCAAAAGTGTTTAGAAATGTATGATTTCATAGCAATCCATAAACCCTACTGGATAACGTACTCTGTAGGAGCAGAGAACTGATATCTTCTCATTTTTGTACTGTAGAGCATATGCCTGCTTCTTTTAAGTGGGAAGGCAGGAAGAGGCAAGATGTAATGTAGGATGAGGGACTTATGATCTGTCCAAAGGAGAAGATAAAACACTGCAATTATCATGTCCATAATTCCATGTGACAAAGTACTGTCAGAGAGAAACTGTTGAAGTCTGTTACAGTGTTGTGTGCACCATAATACACTCTGGATAGCTGGAGAATGAAACATGCCATAGAACAGAGAGGAAACAAACTTTAAGGAAAAACTGTTTGGAAGACAAAGGCTAATTACTTGCTTCTTCTTGTCCAACATAATTGCGTCACCTGGCACAATGTCCGATGATCCGTATCAAGTGTCAAGAGACAGATCTTTCAAAAACAGTCATGAGGGGTGGGATGCAACTTTAAAAGCTTTATTACAAGATGTCTGGAAAAGCCATAGATTTTGGCCAGCAGGGCAATTTAGAAGTGTTTAATGGATGTCTGGAACAATATTTTAACTAAACTGCAAGAGGAATTAGTATGTGAGCAAAACAAAGTTTTTCAGAATGCTGTGTGGCTTTTATAGGGAACTATTGGTGCAGTAGAATGAACGTCAGGGTGCACACACAGGAAAGTTAAGAGTAAAACTGGATTTTGCAATCAAGCAATCTCATCTGTAACATCTTGCATAACTTCCAGAAAGCCATTTTGAGAGAGAAGTTAATGTTTTTTCTATGTAGTGATGACCCAAAGCAGACTGCGGGATTAAACCTTAATTATATACATCATGAAGTTAATAGGGAGGCTTCTGTAGTCCCCTGAATGTAATACTGTACCATTGAAATGATGTTGGATAAGCTTGACAGGAGTGCAAAACATGACTACCACCAGCTAGAATGGGTAGCTATTTTCAGAAGGAATGCTTACTGTAAAATGCCAAGAAAATATCTTCTGTTGCGTTTTCTTTGGAGAAGGTTAATGCATTTTCATATAGATCAATAGAGTGTGCAGATTCTCCCTTTTTTGTAACTCAGTAGAACCTCCAGGTGTTCCCATAATTTCAACCTCAGCTGCACACTGTAATGTGTATCTTTTCTGCACATGTGCTGCCTTCTGCAGTTCTTCTCACAGGGCATGGATCTGACAAAGCAACCTTAAGAAAATCACATCCTTCCATAGCTGTAATGAGCTGGTATGCATTTCTGTAATGCAGTGGTTGTAACAGAATTTGCCATTGTAGCAGCAATGGTCACGTGAAGGTTTAATAGTCCTGAGCAGCAATGCTGTGACAATAAGATGCCATTGAGTTCTTGCCAAAGTACAAGACGTATCCATCAGACTTCAGGTTGTGCATGCAAATAAGTCTCCCCTGGGAACAAGGGAGCAGAGCTCGAGAACAATTATGAAAAGGAGCTGTTAATTCTAATAAGATTTTCCTCGTCCAATTTCTAAATAAATACATTTGTTTTAAAAAATAATTAAGCTCAGAGACAATGTGATACATTTAGTCTCCTTCAAATTGTAAGACGCAAAACTATATAAAAATTATTGACTGACTATTGATTATGATTTATACAATTAT